TAGCGATAGGATTTCTCTCTGCTATCCTTTCCTCCCATGCCTATGCCCGGCTAAGTCTCCAGTAGACACTTAGGAGACAAGAGGGAGGGGAGACTCCAGGGACCCAACTAACATTTATTCACCGGTAGGCATGCTTGCAGGTCACAGGCACACGTGGAGGCCTGAGGTCCACCAGTAGGACGAGCTCTCCTTCCACTGTGTGGATGGTGGGGACTGAACCCAGGTCATCAGGTTTGGTGACAAGTGCTCTCCTTTGCTGAGCCATCGCACTGGTCTCAGAGTCACAGATGACAGTGTTGGAAGAGCCGTGCTAAACTATCGGGCTTTGGGGTAATCGCACTGGGAAAAAAAGCAGTAAAGGAGGAGAGAGAGGATTGCAGCAAAGGGCACGTGGTATCCTCAGCACCACAAAAATATATGTTAAAAATAAATAAATAAAAATCTAACAAAGGAAAAGCAATTTCCATAATTCTATTTAGCCTAATATATCTGTAACAATATTATTTCTAGATGGAAGCAATATTTTAACTTTATTTATAATGTGTTAATGCTAGCCCTTGGGGAAGCCATCATGGGGGGGGGGTCATAGGTTCAAGTCCAGCCTGGGCTAACAGTAAAAAACCTAACTCAGAAAAAAATTGATATGTTTTGAAATCCTTTTCTCATACAAGTCCTTGTATTTGGACTCTTCCAGAACCTCTTAGCCACAGTGAAAGAAACCCAACCAACATACCATGAACGACTGTCATCTTGGGTATTGTGACTCACCACCATCTGATGTGACTGATTAAGGCAAAACTACAATTCTCACCCCAAAGGCAGTAAGAGAGTTTCCCCAAATTCCATCTTCTGTTCTGAAAGTGGCTGCATGAGATTTTATTAGCTACAGAGCAAAAGAATCTGAAAGTGTTTACCAGAGTTATTAGTGGGGGCACGGGTGGGCGGTCACAGTTTTACCCAGGAGATTCTGCCATAACATCCGATGACATCTTTAGCTTTGGGATTGGTAGGACAAGTGGTGGCTAAGAATGTGTTTTAGAGTTTTAATAGTCATGAGGACCCTGGGCCCAACGAAGGGCGAACAAACGGCAACTTCCAAAGGCACCGAGGTTAGCCGGATATGTCTGCCTCCGATCTGTTACAGTCTAACTCGGTCTAGCGCAGTCTAACTCTTCGTATTCTCCAAGTTCAGTCCTTCAGCCTAGCCTCGGCTTTAACACCGGTGAGGCTTTTCTCTCTTTCTTCCCACCCCGCCCCCTTCTTTCTGGGAATTTCAGATGCCTGCATTTCCATTTGAGTTCACAACACTGAGCCTGCTCCCCTGATTCTCTTGACCTCTGTTGCTCATTTCTCGGTGAACGAGCGAGGCTCCCAGTGGCTCTTCTTCATCCCGGTCTAGAAACGGAAAGTGCTCAGATTGGAAAACCACAAGAAACCAGCACATGTGATACCCAGAGCAGCTTACATCCACCCTGTGTGTGCGTGAAGAGAACCCCTTGGCATGACCGCGGGCAGCTTAGGGCTGAAATGTGAGAATGGAATAGAATACGTGCTTTGGGGAAAGACGGGGTGCCGTTGTGTCTGAAATCGGCATCTGGGCCAGGTCCAACCCTGACTGTTACGCTCCCTGGAGTCTCCCCCTTTACATTAAGGCCTTATTGATAACTTAGCTGAGCAGAAAATACTTCATAAGCTTAACCTTCCAAAACAAAACAAAACAAGAAGAGTGGCAAGGAGCATTCACATCTGTGACCCTCACCCATTGTCAACACAAGGATGAGAAAGGTTCTTTCCTACGGTGGCTGTAAGGATCAAATCCAATCCATGGGGAGGACTTGACACCCTTCCTAGCCAAGAACCCCCACTGTCCCCATCCCTCCCACTGTAGAAATGAGGTTTAGGGTGGGGGCTGCTTGCACAAAGTCACACAACGAGGGGGTGACATCAGACACGCCCTGTTTGGGCTGCTTCCTTCTCCCAGGCAGTCATCACCGACAGTCAGCCTTATTCCCGCACAGCAAGGTAAAGGGAATAAATACACCCAGAATGAGTAAGACACTCGACAAAGGCTCACGGCCAAGTGTGGTTTCCATGGTACGTACCGTGTGTGCCTGTGTGTGAGTGTGTATGTGTGTGTGTGTTTGTGCGCACGTATGAGAGATAAACAGAGAGAGACTTGGCAGGCTCTTCAGCCTAGCTTCTATCTCCCTGCCTGTCTCCTTGTAGATGATGCTCCCAAAGGGACCATGTAAGAATCCTCGGTGCCATCTGCAGGGAAGGGTGTCCATCAAGATGACGCAAAGGACTGTGATTGATGGGGACAATAAAACAAATCATCCTGATTAAACTCCAGGGAGTCCAAATCATCATGTTATATAATAATAACCAGAGACAGGGTTTTCTGAGTATCGGTCCTCTCTGTGGCATGACTGTCCCTATGTTTTCTGTGCCTGTTGAATTCTCCGGGTTAATCAGTAAGGTGGCTGCTACTAAGAAACCATTCTACAGATAAGGGAGATGAGGCTCAGGGCAAATAAGGAGCCCTCTCAGAAACACAGACAGAGCCAGGAAACAGAGACTCGGGGGATCCGAATGTTTGCAGGTGAACTTGTCCCTGCCTTTTAGGTAGGAAAAAAAAAAAGCCAGGACACTGTGGGGTCAAGACTGTGGCACGCACTGGGAGTAGCAGCTCAAGCCTATAATCCCAACTACTGAGGCAGGAGGATACTATAGAGTCTCTGGAAAACTTCAGCAGACCCTGTCTCAAAATAAGAATTACCAAGGCTGGGAATATAATATAGTATACACGGTGGCCTGGATTCCATTCCCAATACCACCGGAAGAAAGGGAGGGAGGGAGGAAGGGGAGGATGCCTAGTTTCCCAGACACCTGCCAAGAGCCCCACCTGTTTCTAGATGATAGCAGAGACTGAGGCCAAGCTGAGCATGGCTGAAGGTGGGAGGCCCCGTGAGAAGCTTTATTTCTGATGTTTTTTTTTTTCCTTTTAACCAAGGCACACCAAAGGCCAAGCCTATGCTCTGTCCTTTACTAAAGTCTGGCCTAAGCCAGCATTTGTAATAAATGAACTTGAGGTCCTTGCCTCTCCTTCCAGACACTTCTTCCATTAAAGAATGGAGCCAGAGCCAAATGTGGGTGCCAGAGAAAGCTCTAGAGCCCCAGATGTCTCCCCCTTTGGCTGTGGTTGGGTCCCCAGAAGATGGGACCCTTATGTGCGCTACAGAAGCAAGAGAGCAAACTGTCCTAGACAAGGAAGAGAATGACGATTCTGGGTACTTTTCCTACACACCAGAGCCTAGGCAGCGAAACGCTACAATCGACACAAGGGCCACACGCAGCCGAGAAATGCCACAGCATGAGAATGGTGCATGATACACAGCGAGAAACACACACAGAGCCACGCCAGATGGAGAAAGCTGCCCGGGCTGGGCCAGGGATTCGTTACTCCTCCACCCACACAGAGCGACTGGTAGGGTTATGTAATACAAGCTGCAAAAACACTAACCAGCCCCTCCTTCAAGGGGCCCTGGGCGGAGGGGCACCTCTACTGAAAGTCAGGGGGACCTGTGCAGTCAACTCCTGCTCTTGGAGGCAGTGGGCACTTGTGCCAGCGGACTCAGCCCCGGGGTGGCCCTGGGAAGTAGCTGGAAGGGAAAGGAGGTGACGGTTTGGTTTGTTAGTCATGACCAGCAGCTGGGTGTTTCTCCTTGTGCGAAGGCATGGTGAGAATGTGTAAAGAGAGGGCTGGGGACACAGGTAGGACTGGGGCTTGGAGGGGAGGAGAGAAATGGATGCAAAGATTGGCTTGTCCTCTCCCCACCCCCACCCCCACCTTACCCACCACCTGGCACAACCCACAGCTTTTCACACACCCAGGTCCCTGCACTTGCCTGATCTGAGCTACCACCATACCACAGCTTGGCCCCTGTTGGCCTTTGGCACGCCGAACACACCCCAAGACCTTCCGCTGGGACAACTGGTGCTTTGAAAGCTGACAGCATTTTAGGGAAGACTATACATCGGGTGTGGTTAGCAGGTGAGTCTCAAAGTTCAGGCTTGCAAGGGAAGCGGCTCCATCCTTCCGCCATGCACTGTGTGTGACCTAGGACAAGACACTGAGCTGTCTCTCAAGTTGGGGCTGCAGGCCCCGGGATGGTTCTGTAAACATCAAAGGAGGGAAAATAACTGTTGAGAATGGACGTATTCAGAAACTTCCCTGTTAGTCTTCATTTTGCTTTTTCCTCTTCCATCAGTGAATATCGATTGAGCATGTCATGTGCCGTTGCTAAGCCCAGAGGGTCGCGCTGGGGTTTTTCATGTGGTGTGTGGAGAACAAATGTATTCCAGAGTTTTGTGTGGACCTATCTCTTTGTGTTCAAAGTGTTTGTAACATGGCGAAGTGTCTGCTTTTAAAATTGAAAGGAGCTAATGCGGAGGGACATGGCCGTGAGGTTAGCTGGATTCCTCCATCCGTGGGACCACCTAAGGCAGCGTCTCTGTCTGTACAGTAGGTTTTGTTCTTGGTGATGATGGAGGTGGAGGTTAGTGGGAAGGTTCCAGATACGGGAGCCCAAAGGTTGGTGCCAGAGGAGCTGCTGAGCTGTGGACGGGATGTGTTTGCCAAACCAGGGCACTGAGGACAGTGTGACTAGTCGGAGCAGTGACCTCCCATGCTGGGAGAGAGAAAAGGTTAAGAATTATTACCCTTGGGTCTCTGGGACTGCCTGACCATCATGGCTGTGGTGTCCCCAGGGAGGCCCTCTGGTCCTCGAGGGTTTTAATCACCGGGTAAAGCCAGGTAGCTGCTGCAAACTGGAGAAGGTGAGTGTCCAGTTAAGGAAGACCAACCATGCCTCGGGTTCAGCTTCAGCACCCCGGGCATCTGTGATTCGGTGTTTTCCATCCTAACTCCGAGGTGCTGGGTGCCCTGCACAGCTCTCTCCCTTCCCCTTCTCATCCGCTCTCTTCTTCCTTCTCCTCAGCTCCAGGAACCCTACATCAATTTTCATTTGACAAGCTGGTGACCAAGATGCCCAGAGATTAGTCCCCATGCATGTGCGTCACCTTAGACACAGTCATAAGACACAGCAAGCCTCCAGTCTTCCTGACCTGTTGCTTGGGGACACGTCCCTTCCCTGCTCCTGACGTCTGCCTGGTCAACCTTGGCTTCCTGGGAGAACAAGGAAGGAGGTGGGACACATGAAACCATGCCACCCAAGGCCGAATGGCAATGAGTAAGTGACGCCAAGTTGACGTCAAAGACAGAAGCGGCTGGAATTCTGCAACCAGCTCTTTTCCTGGAGTAGCTCGGGGCCCCTGCAAGAGTCATCTTAGCTTAGAGGTCTTCCAAAGGACACAGACACCATGGAAGAGCACACATTTGGAGTTCAGCAGATCCAACCCAATGTCATTTCTGTCCGTCTCTTCAAACGCAAAGTCGGGGGTCTGGGCTTCTTGGTGAAGGAACGGGTCAGCAAGCCACCCGTGATCATCTCTGACCTGATTCGAGGAGGTGCCGCGGAACAGAGCGGCCTTATCCAAGCTGGAGACATCATTCTAGCCGTTAATGGCCGGCCCCTGGTGGACCTCAGCTACGAGAGCGCCCTGGAGGTACTCAGGGGCATTGCCTCTGAGACCCACGTGGTCCTCATTCTGAGGGGCCCGGAGGGCTTCACTACACACCTGGAGACCACCTTCACAGGAGACGGAACCCCCAAGACCATCCGGGTGACCCAGCCCTTGGGTCCCCCCACCAAAGCTGTTGATCTGTCCCACCAACCGTCAGGCGGCAAAGACCAGCCATTAGCAGTAGGCAGGACCACGGATCCTGGTAATGGGCCTCAGCATGCCCATGGCAATGGACAGGAAGCTGGCTTAGTCTCCCAAGCTAATGGTCTGGCCATTGACCCTACAATAAAAAGTACCAAGGCCAATCTCCAGGACAGCCGGGAACATGACGAACTACTCAAAGAGATAGAACCTGTACTGAGCCTCCTAAACAGTGGAGGCAAAGCAATCAACAGAGGTGGACCAGCCAAAGCAGAAATGAAGGACACAGGTGTCCAGGTGGACAGGTAAGCTACAGGTGTGCAAGTGTGTGCTTGTGTGTAGGTGTGCATGTAGAGGCTCCAGCTGACAACCCAGGAGCCAGCCTGCCCAGTCACATGTCTTGACTGCCCTATCTTTCCCTGGAAATTTCAGTCACGCAAAGTGAGTGGGCCTCCATTTGAAGACGCAACTCTTGCCATGAAGCCCGCGGTCATTAATAACTATGGTCCAGGGCATTGTGTCTTCAAGTGTTTGTCCCATGCATGCTCCCAAAGTCCTACAATGTGGATGTGGGAAAGGTGTCGAGAGTGGGGTTCGGAGAGTTAGAGATGGCTTTGCTAATATTGACCAGAGACTTAGAGGCATGTGCACACATGTCTCGCTGAGCACATAGCTCTTGCCAGGGTGTTGGGAAAGCGAATAGGGAAGAGAAGAAATCTACACCCCACGCTGCTTCCTCCTCTCTGCAGCCAACTGAGGACAAGGGAGGCTCCGGAGAGAGGAAAAGACAGGAGAATTAGTTCCAAAACCCCTAAACGACAGTCTTCCAGTCTTGAACCCTGAGGATAGACCCTGAAGTACTGGGAATGGCCCCTCTTGTTCACCAAACTGCTACTTTCAGAGTCTCTGGTGGAAGGGATCCTGGCAGAACTAGAGACGTTGCCAGCTTCTTCCGAGGGAGGAAAGAGCAGCTGGCCCTGGCAGTCAGAGTTGTGTGTCCCACAATGAGGGAATTCCCTTTGCCTCTTACAACATCAAACCCAGTAGCCCTGTGCCATGCTGCCAAGATGGGGATAGAGCCACCCAGAATTCAAGCCCTGCGTGCATTGGTGACACTCACCGAAGCTGTGCTGTGCACCAGGGCTCCAGAGCTGTATCTGCTGTGCTCATGACACAAGCCGGTCCTAGACATCAAACCCTATTCCTCAACAGCAGAGTTCAGAGAGTTTTATATGAGACTCTGCCGCTGTGGCGGAGCCCCTGGCCGATGGCGGCTGACCCTTGGCTCTATCCATGTTTTGTACCTTTGACTGGTTTGCAGCGGGGCCTGAGGCTGTGGCTAGAAGGGCCCCTTGGGTTCTATTTCAAGTACACTTGCACTCCTAAACCCCATATGATGTGGGTTCTCCCCCAGAAGACCCACAGTGGATGCTGGGTACTCCTCGCCGTGTGACTAATTTGACCCTGTCTCTCAAGTGACACAGAAGACACAAAGGGGCCACATAGAATATAAGGTACAGCACTAGTGGGTGCTGGTGTAGTTACAGAGCAAACGGTGACTGTAAAAGGATCTCCACACTCCATTCCATAGAAACCAGTGCCTCTGAGGAGGCACAGGCAGCGTGGCCCATTTTTCTGACTTGGGAGTGGCTCCATACAATCTCTCTCCCATTGTGGTCCTCCCTCCGGCCACCAGATCCAAAAGTCATAGATAAACTGAGGTTTGAGGGAAAGCCACCCAGAAAGGCTCAGAATCCCGGGAAGCCACTCAGAGGAAACAACTGTAGGGAATGGGTGACTGTCCCCCAGCTTGGTGGCTCATACTCACACCGCATCCAAGATTACCTTACTAGTCAGAAAACTAGCATGTGGTTGATATAGCCTGCCCCATTTAACATTTTCAGACACTTTGTGTCCTAACTGTGATATAAGGACAATGTCAATCTCCTAAAGAGGGAGCCAGCAATCAAGAGTATTGGTGCAAACACGGGACCTTGTTGGAGGAGGGCTGGCTTGTTCATCCCGGCTGCCCAGCTAGCTTCGCCCAAAAATAATCACACAGAAACTGTATTAATTTAATAACTGCTTGGCCCATTAGCTCTAGTTTCTTATTGGCTAATTTTTACATCTTAATTTAACCCATTTCTATTAATCTGTGTATCACCACATTGCAGTGGCTTACCGGCTAAGTTTCAGCATGTCTACCTCCGGCAGCAGGTCCATGGTGTCTCTCCACCATGTCTTCTTCTTCTTCCTAGCATTCAATATTATAATCAAATGTCTCCGAGTTCATTGTATTCAGGATCCATTCATCCATAGGTGCTGATCTAACCTTTAAAGGCCCAAGTATCTTTTTTGCATTCTAAATTGGCATTTTCAAAAGCCAGAGATTTAATAAGTACTCTTCTAGCATCTGTGTCTGTTACTTCTATTTGTACAGCCTTAGTGAATCTTTGTAAAAAGTCAGTAAAGGGTTCTCTCTGGCCCTGTTTAACCCTGGTATATGATTCAATTATTTTTCATAGTTCTTGAGTCCTGTCCCAAGCATTTAAGGCTGCTTTGTGGCATAGGAACCGACCTCAGCCAGCAGGTCAAGGGTGTGTGCCTGGACACGAAACTGTTGCACACACAGGAGCATCAGGTGTAGAAGGACATAGGTGTGTCATCTTGGCATCTCAAGTGCCACAGCAGTGTCACAATCTGTGATACAGTTTCTGAAATGAACCATTCTCAAGGAGACGACAGGTCAGGCTGGCTTCACTTGGTACTCCCAATTTCTGTGGCCTCACACAAGGGAGATCAAATCTACCGGTATTATAAGACAGAGTCCAGGAACTTCTGCCTGCTTCTATCTACACAGGAGGTCCTGTGGTTATGGAGACCCTTTGTCCTTACGTGAGACTTATCCTTGGTGTTTTCATGTCCTCTGTCCCATATGGTTCTACCTCCACAATGCAAGGAGCACCCCATCAACAGCCCAGAATGTCCACAAGCCCACTGCCACTCAGCCTCCTGGAGACTGGAATCCAATGCCAGAGTCAATGCCATACATTAGGACCCAGAAGCCCAGAATGCAATTTTCCCTGGGGTCAGTTTCTCGTTGGCATCCCTGAGACCATCAGGGAGGGGCCCTTGGTGCTCCCTGTGGGGAATATCTTGTGACTCTCAGTGACCTCCCTGACCAGACGATGTTTGATTGGCACTGGCAACTTGGAGACTGGATGAATAGTTGCCATACTGAGCCGCTTAGGAGACAGCGGGGTACTGTATCCAGATCCAACATCCATGGCATGCTCACCAGCCAGTGACTGCTCAGGTCACCGGGAGCAACAGCCACTTGCTAGTTTAGGATGCTGCCTGTCTCTTCTCTGTGGCCCTTCATCCCTCTTATGCGTGGACTTGGCTGTCTGCCCACCACTGGGACTTAGGGGGACCAAATGTGATGATACATTACTCTAAAATGGCAGCAGAATCCTCTTACAACCAGGAGACAGGTGGCCCCAAAAGCCTGTAAACCCAGGCTTCTGGTCCATTCTGTATTTGAGAGTGGTCACTTTAAAAAGTGTCAGAGGATGTCAAGGTTGCTCAGCTTGCTGCCCTGAGGCAGGGTTCTAAGGAGGCCAAGGTCCCTGGTTCAGCATCCATCTGGAACAGCCGGTCATCCTGGCCCTATGATCAGGAAACTAACCAGTCCCCTATTCACTTTTGCAAGGCACCAGGGCGGCCCCTCAGCACCTCTTCAGAGGTCATATAAATGTTACTGTAGATGTAGGACACTGACTTCTGCCTGCTTTTCTAAATGAGCAAACTGAGGCCCAGAGAGCTGAAGCCACTTAGCCAGGGTCACAAAGTCCTGCCTGTAACCTACAGCAAGTGTCTGGCATTAAAGGGCCAAAAGAAGCAGCTGGGGGGGTGGACAATATGCAGGGCACCTGCTCTGTGGCGAGCCTGAGTCAGGGGATTGTGCTATATTACCCTTCTCTGCTGACCACTCCCAGGGAGGCTGGCCCCAGGCTGGCCCCACGCTGCTGTCTGTATGTCAGTCCCACTTCTGCAATGAATAAAGCAGGGATCAAAGAGGCTCTGTCATTTATCCCAGGTCAGTTAACAAACAAACCAAATTCAGGCCCGAGGCTGTGCTCTTGACCTCTGTGGCCTCATAGATGGCCCCGTTGCCCTCAGTGTGCTTGGCTACTGGCCCCCTGCGTATCTAAAGCTATCAGAATATTTCAACTGAGTCTGGAAGGGAAACTGAGACCTTGCAGTTCCTCTGGCTTAGGGCAAGGTGACCACGACTTGTCTTCCTTCAAGATGAGAAGCAGGGCCTCCCCAAATTACAGAAGAGCCTCTCTGGTGGGTTTTGCAGGTTTCCCAGCCTTCCAGCCATCATGGTGGAGGAACCAGGATCCCAGGTTCATTCTTTTTGTAGCAGGGCCAGGCGACTAGCCTGTTTCTGTGGAGCTAATTAGTGTTTGCTCACCATAATGGTGCCCAAGAAGAGGCTGGGGAGATAGCTCAGAGGGTAAGTGCTTGCTGCAGACATGAGGACCTGATCTCAGATCTCAGGTAACCACATAAAAAGTGCTAGAGAGACAGAGACAGCCAGACCCCTGCAGTTTGCTGATCAGTCCTGCTTAGCTGGAGAGTTCAACCAGAGGGGGAGACCCTGTCTCAACAAAGAAGATGGACAGTGAGCTTCACACACACACATGCTCACACACACATGCACACACGTGACCTCAGTGACCCTCAGCGGGGCTGGCTCCAGGCTGCCTGAGTTGGCACACACTGCACACAGAACTCTGAATGGGACTGTGGAAGCTCTCCCACGAACTTCCACGCCACAAGCCAGAGCAACTTCCGTTCTCTCCCTCATCAGACATGCATGTCTTCCCCAATCTGTTCTCACCTGCCTCGTCCCCTTTCTGTCTTGTCACTTGGACACTCAGCCCTTCATCCTGAACGAGCTATGGAAGAACTCACTTGTCTACCTCCCCCAAATTGACCTGTCCCCAGCGGGCTTCTCACCGCCTTGCACCCAGTGAAGTTTTGAGCAGACATAGTCTCACTCCTGGTTCCGCTCTCAGAGCTGGGGACTCGCTGAGGAGGCTCTCCCCCCCTCCCCGAGTCACATCAGAGGCATGAAGAATAGACAAATAGACGTTTGCCGTCATCTCTCACAGTGACTCATGCCAGGGAGGAAATAGGCCAGAGATTTGGGGGGCAGTAGCTCGAGAGTGAGGAGAACGTTAGGTGGGGGAAGACAGAGGTGCCAGGCATGTGGAAGTCAGGGAGGGGGGAGCCT